TTTTGAATCTCCAATTTCATAATTTTAATGAGAACCCTTGGTATTCATCATCATTTTATCAGGAATGGAATCAACGAATGTCGCGGTTAACGAATTCTTCGTAATATTAACAATACGTGGTGTGTGGTGGGAGAATCTGTGGACCAAAAATGAAAGAGAAATTAAAATAAAAGATCCAGTAATTCGAGCGTATTTTATCCGCTCCAGAGATTGTGCAACATGACGCTGTGCTTTTGCGGTTTATGCGTTAAATTGGTTGGTGCGCATTTTCCCTCGTAAAATCACAGCTGTCGCCAGCAACGTACAGCATTACCGAACATGGAATAGTCTGCAATAATGTCGATGGGTTATATTGATATTTTTATCCGTGGATTGAATGGTTCGTGGAAAATACGTGAATCCGCGTAAAAAAGGGAAGTGGAAGCGGATTATTTTCGTCAGGCATTCATTAATTCAACGAATTAAATATTTGTCACTTATAATACCACGAGAGCTTCGGAATTGTCGGATATTTCCTGATAGATTCGCTTCAATGTGTTAAATCTCGGATTTTTCACTCTACGTTTGTAATCAACGAGAATAACAGAGTTGGGATTTTGTAATCTCGCGCCACTTTAGGCGGACCAATAAAAAATCGTCGCTTCAGGATTGCGGGATTTTCGAGATAATCGATTGTTTCGATAGAATTGATAGACAAAGTCTATATAAATAATGAGAAAAAATATTTAACTAGAAAAAAAGATTTGATATTTCATTCGATGAAAAACGCAATTAAATAAAATAATCATAAAAGTGTCATTACTCCAGATGATCTCAACTAGATGTTGATAATAATAATTCTATTGCTCTAGAGGATAATTGGGCCTGACCTTGAATACACTGGAGCAATAATAATAAATATTAAAGAGTTCTGTAAATCTGTTGGAGCAGCCGGAAAATTCGGTTAAAGGAAATGAATAATAATCAGTGGAGGTTGTGGAGTTTATTTTTTAATGCAATAGCTAGACTGAATTGATCTTAAAAATCAATACACGATTGATCCTGTTGTGATGAAAAAACGATTTAGCTGTCAGGGTATTTATAGAAATGTTACTTCCGGTAAATCCTAGTTTTCCCAATACTTTCTGATATTGAAGACATGTGTAAAGTTTATGGGAAGCATGTGTTTTTATGTTCACGTGAGCTCAACATCTGCTATTTGATGACCTTTTCATTCTATCCACGTCCCTGAATGACACGTTTTACTGCAATTACCCTCGCGATATTCGTCAAGTTCATGTTTTTAATTAGCTAAAAGATAAAACCTGGCACCTTGGTAGGAGACACTAATTAAATTGAAAGGCTGTTATGGGAAAATTGTGGAGAGGAAAATTACAAGTTCACTGTTTTTTTCATCGTTAAAATGAAAAGTTTTCCAATTATAAAAAATTTGAAAGGACAATTACTTTTGGTGAATCTCGAGTGAATGCATTTCAATTCGATGGCTACAGGAAACAATTCAATATCTTAATCAATTTTTAATTACTCCTGCGAGTTGATTTTTATCTCGGTGAGTGGCAGAAAATTTCATCAGCTTTTATTGTCGGAAAGCAATTAGAAAATGATAATTGAACGATTAAAATTATTACTGAATAAAAAATTGGGGATAATCACGATTTTCTCGAGTTATTCAAGTCATTTTTTTTTTATTGAAAAATTATAATAGAGCGGAGGAATTAATTTGATTCAAGTCAATCCGTCGATTCGATTTAAATATTTATCGACTGTCGGAAAAACAAAATAGCAAAATGAAATTTGAGACAAAATGACGCCAATCGTGCGATTAATTACTGAAAAAAATAATTACGATGGGATATTCAACTTGCACAACTCCCGGAGGAGCCTTACATAACAATTTAACTCGACCACTTAATAGTTAACTAATTACGGATAAGTATTCAAGTTCAGTGGACTTGTTTCTCTGGATTCTCGTCAGTAACTTCATCGTTGGAAATTCTCAGCAAAGAACGAGTACTCTCTCCTCGTCTCGTGTAATCAGGTTCGAGGGCATGAATGTTCCCTCATACCCTCCCCCTTCGTCGCAATTCTTTCCTCGTTTTCCCTCCATTTTATTTTATTTTTTTTTTCTATTTTAGTTGTACACCGCTAGTTCAATAAAGAGAAGGATGGAGAACGTACCAACCTCCGCACTTTGTCTTCTCGAGTTTGATCCTGAAGTTTCGAAGCGAATCTTTACATTTAAAGGAAATTGCTGGGGGTGGGCTCTCCTTAACAAAGTTCAAGTTTTTCGGCGAGTTTTTGTTGTGAGATATCCAATTAAATTGGCAGGAAGGAGTTTACTTTAGTGGTATTGTTTCGAGATCTACAGGGATGATTATCTCATTCCCAAAATGAAAAAAAAAGACAAAGAAAAGTACGGGAATAAATCAACGATTCACTTGGTTTAGTTTTCGTGAGGAAATGAGAAAATTATTTTGCAAATACGTCCTAGGAATATTGCGCGAAATTTTTCGAATTTTTCCTCACAGGAATCTGAATTTTTTATTGAATAGATTTCAATTGAATGTTAAATGATAATTGATTTTTCAATTACGACGACCTCCGCGATGAAATCATTTAATTGTACGATTCCTTGAATTTTAGAGTTGTGAATCAGGAATTAGTTTATGATTAATGGTTGAAGTTGTTCTGTGATGAGTATTAAAGAAATTGAAAATTTCATCGCGTAATAGCGAAATATTGCCGAGAAACCCACGGTTTATGAGGGTTTCCGTAATTTCCTCTCGTAAGGCTTCTCATTCAATGGAGATGAAAAGTTTCCTAGAAAATAACCATAACTTCAAGCTCCAATCAGACAGTAATAAAATAATTAATTCACATTAAATTATTGTTAAATACTTCGAGTGTGAATTATTTTTCAATTCCCCACAAACTCCTAGTAATTTATTTTATCGCTCTCAGATGACGACACGATTTATTAAAAATCATTGAACGTCACTCATTCCCTAATTTCGTCCTTAATTAATAAAAAAAATATTTATCAAGATTATTTGGGGAGAACTCCATTTATATGATAATGAAAAAATGATGGCGAACGAGTCGCGATTTTCTCACCGTTTTCACGGAAAAATCGCATTTTTCCAGAGCAAATGCTAAATCCTAAATCCGCTGCCACAACTGAATTATCTCGTAGAGAGGTGCCTTAATCCTCTAGAACAGGGATGGGCAACCTCTGCTCTGAGAGCAAGTCGTGCTCCCGACCTCTATTAGTACATAACAAAGGGTAGACGAAAGCTTATTGTGTCGGGTGATGGGCCTTTATGACCCAAGTCGTAAAGGGCCTTCTCCTCGGCTGAAATCAACCAAAGTGGGGGTAACACGT